TCCCCGCAGCCTCCTCCTCTCCAGGCTGAACCCCCCCAGCTCTCAGCCTGTCCTCCCAGCAGAGCTGGGCCACCCTCGGAGCATTTCGGTGGCCTCCCCTGGCCCCGCTCCAACAGCCCCATGTCCTTCCCGTGCTGAGGACCCCCGAGCTGGACGCGGGGCTCCAGGGGGGTCTCCCCCGAGCGGAGCAGAGGGGCAGAATCCCCTCCCTCGCCCCGCTGCCCACGCTGCGGGGGATGCAGCCCAGGAGACGCTTGGCTTTCTGGGCTGCCAGAGCACATGGCCGGCCCATGGCCAGCTTTTCATCCCCCAGCACCCCCAAGGCCTTCTCGGCAGGGCTGCTCTCCACCCCTCCATCCCCCAGCCTGTGCTGATACCGGGGGTTGCCCCCACCCAGGTGCAGGACCCTGCCCTTGGCCTCGTTGAACCCCATGAGGTTCACACAGTCCCACCTCTCCAGCCCGTCCAGGTCCCTCTGGATGCCATCCCGTCCCTCAGGCGTGTCCATGCACCGCTCAGCTTGGTGCCATCTGCAAACCTGCCGAGGGTGCACTCGATCCCACTGTCCACATCCCCAACGAAGATGTGAAATAATACTGGTCCCGATGCGGACCCCTGAGGGACCCCACTCCTCTCTGGTCTCCACCCAGACATCGAGCCGTTGACCGCAACTCTTTGAGTGCGACCATCCAGCCAACTCCTTATCCACCGAGTGGTCCACACGTCAAATCCATGTCTCTCCACTTCAGAGACAAGGATGTTGTGCAGGACAGTATCAAATGCTTCGCACAAGTCCAGGTAAATGACATGAGTTGCTCTTCCCTTATCTACTACCCCCATCACAGAAGGCCACCAAGTTCGTCAGGTGCGATTTGCCCTTAGTGAAGCCATGTTGGCTCTCACCAGCCACCTCTCTGTTTTCCATGTGCCTTAGCATAGTTTCCAGGAGGATCTGCTCCATGATCTTGCCATGCACAGAGGTGAGACTGACTGGCCTGTAATTCCCCAAGTCTTCCTTTTTCCCTTTTTAAAAATGGGGGTTATGTTTCCCCTTTTCCAGTCACTAGGAACTTCACCGGACTGCCACAGCTTTTCAAATACGATGGAGAGTGGCTTAGCAACTTCATCTGCCAGTTCCCTCAGGGCCCTCGGATGCATCGCACCAGGTCCCACGGACTTGTGCACGTTCAGGCTCCTTAGTCTCAAACCTGACCTTCTCCTACGGTGGGCACTGCTTCGCTCTCCCGGTCCCCGTTCAAAGAACACGGGACGTTTCTGCCTGCCCGCAAGCGACCCTGCCCCACGTACCATGTCTGTGCCGTACACCGGGGAGGTCATCTTGATCTCCCAGAAGTGCTGCCCGTCCACCAGCTCTTTGTTCCCCCGGATGGCGGCAGTGCCGCAGCTGTACTCCATGTGGAAGTTCACCTTGCGGTTGTCGCAGGTCAGCAGCGTGGCCGTCGACTTATTCAGGTCGTCCCACACCCAGTCGAAATCTGTTCAGGAAGCACAGAGGGGACAAGGATGGGCAAAGGCCCTCAGGGAGCGAGCCCCGAGCCAAAGCAGAGCCGGATGCTTCTTCTGAAGGGCTGTTGGGGGGTTATTTATTTATTTTTTTAACCACTTAAGAGGGTAAATCCTAAGCTGTGCACATTGGAGTTGTTTGAGGCCTGAGCTATTCTGCAGCGTCCCACCAGGGGTGGTTCTATGCTCTGAAGCCGAAGCTGTTAGCGTTAACCAGCTCCCATCTTAGCTAACACGAGGTTCCACAGACCCAGGCGGAGCCTCCTTTCTTCCTACGCTTCTCGTAGGCTCAAGGGAATCTCTGCTATCGGCTTTCTCGGCCAGCCCGCGCCCACCCTCTGCCTACCTCTGCCCTGAGCGCACCGGGCCACGCAGCCGGGCGCCCTGCCAGCCCTACCAGGGATCAGCGGCAAGAGGGCTGTAACCACGAGGGCCGGTTTCACTTGTGGCCTCAGCTGGATTTGAAAGCAGGTCCCCGAGGTGAACTCTGATGCGTTAACAAGTTCAGCACTTAGCCCTTGAAACATCCCAGGAGGCACGTGCTTGTAATCTTCCTACAGTCTACGCGGCCTTGAGATGTAAACAAAGGAGCACCGCACGCTGGGACAGAGATGAGGGCCCCCGCGGAAAGCAAGGGATCGGTGCAGGGGTGCAGTCCGTGCCGCCAGGCCAGGACTGCACCCACCTCAAACCCCAACGGCCTACGGCAGGCCGTTGGGGAGCCCCTTCCTTACACTCGTCCTCCTCGCCGCACTGGCAGTCCTTGATGCGGTGGAGGGCGTGCAGGCTGGAGCAGTAGGGCGCTTCGCTCTGGTTCTCGCAGTTGCAGTAGGACTCTCCAGTCACAGGGATGGCGCTCGGGATGGAAGGAGAGAGGGTGGAAAACTCTGGCTCTGAATCCGAGTCGCTGTGCTGCCGGGGAGAGTGGAAGAATGGTCACTACTGAACGCCCCCGGGCTCGGGGAGCTGGGCTGGCAGAGGGCTGCGAGGGCTGGCGTGCCGCAGAGCCGTGCGGGGACGTCCCCAGGCTCGTGCCAGAGCCGGTGGCAGCATGGCCGCATCGTGCCCCGGCCTGGCCGGCCACGCGGGGTGGCGAGGGGCTGCGCCAGTCGAATTGCCCTGCTTTGGGAGCTGGCTAGCATCTGCCTGGGCTGCAGAGACCTCTCGGCACAGGGCACTGCACGATGTGGGTACGTTCTTTGTGCCTTCCCAGGGCGAGGAGCTGTCACGGCAGGCAAGCAGCGTGACGGTCCGAGTCTTTACCACAGGTACTTTTAAGCAAACTCTGTGCTAAAGCTACGGTTTTCAACGGGCAGGTTACAGCCAGCTGGAGACCCCGGCCAAGGCGTCACAAAACCAGAGCACGCTGCTGAAAACCACTGCTCTAGAGAGGCTGGGAGTTGACAGAGAGGAGAGGGAGGCAAACAAGATGAGGAGGAAAAGCGAGAGGAGGCCAGGCAGGGGAGAGGGCAGAACAAAGGGGAACCAGTTGAGCAGCACGGCCGCAGCTCCTCACGCCAGCGCTGCAGACAGGCCCACAGGGAACCTACGGAAGGATTAAAAGGCTTTTGTTTACTTCCATGCACAAACACAAAAACTTGATTTACTATTCCCCAGCGCCAAGAGACCAAAGTGTCCCCGCACCGGACGCTGTAAGAGTCAAAGCCCCGTCTCGTTCCCTACGTTATGGGAGGTTTGGTGTCGCCTAATGGAGTCTCTTACCACAGATTGCAGCGAGTTACTCCAGGTTTACACGCTGGTCAGGCGTACCTGCTTGTTATTCACTCCCACGGCAGACTTTGTAAGCAGTATTTAAACACAAAAATCCTTTAAACTTATCTTCATGTAGCTGTGTGAAATGACTTGGGCTTACTTACGCACTGCCCACCCCTCCTTCGCCAGCCTGCATGTTAACAAGCTTGATTTCTGTCTTTCATCGGCCCTTCCTAACTATGCTATCTAGAAATCCAGCCCTTCCCGTTACTGCAGAAACACAAAGCTACTCTGTAGAGAAAAGGCTCGTTTTCTGGGAGCACAGTGCCCGGGTTTGGACACCGTGCTCTGGCAGTGGCCTCGTAAGGCTTTAGCCTAGCTTTGAAGCTCCAGGAGCAGTTCCTTGCGTCCCCACCGCTGCGTGGGAAACTGAACGCGCCCACTCAAGAACTGGGGAAAAGCACGAAGGTGAATCTAAGTCACTCCTCGCGCCGTTTTACCGACTGCTCTCCCTGCTGTGTTCCCACCTTCCAGCACACCCGGGCCAGCTTCAGAAGTGATGCGCACGTGATGAGCAGGAAACGTGAGAGAATTTCAGTTCAAAGGTATCTGAGACTGTCACTTCACAGACCGGAGCAGCCCCTCTCCCTCCACCACCACCTACCAGCCGCACAAAGCCCAGAAGTTAGCACAGCCACACAGCGAGCCAGACTGGAGAACTGCTCCACTTTAAACACGTATTTAGATCACTACTTTAAAAAGATTTAAAAAATACTGTATGGACTTTATATACGACACACACACATTATATGCTTAAAAAAGTATTTAGGCTAGTAGCGATCAGCTCCCTGGCTCAGCTAACGACAGAGCTGTGGTGCGCAGATTGCAGGCAGCTTAACCTGCGCTGCCTGGGGAAGATGTGCTGGGATCCCCGCTCCCCACGTTAGAGCTCGGAGGGGGCTCGTTAGCTTGTATATTTTATTAAGTCTTTTCTGATTTTGGCCAGTTCTGCCCGCTGAAGTCCCAGCTGCTCAGTTCCACAGACCCCGAGTAAGTGCCTGCTGTCAGGGGAGAGGAAAGCTTTCCCTCGTGTCACTTCAGAGCCACCCGAGCACCAGCCTACCTGCCCATCGGAGTCGTAGCCCCAGCCACGCGTGCCGGTGGCCAAAGTGACCGCCCGGGTGTCCGCCTCGCGCCGCACCCCGCTCAGGACAAAGTGCCAGGCCCTGCTGCTCCGCGTGCGTCGCGCCATGCTGTTCCGAGAGAGGTAAGCTGCGGGGGCAAGGGAGAGGAGGTTAAACACAGCAGCCGTGTCCCACTTCCACCCACCACTCACCGGGCTCTGCTCTCTGAAGCAAACCTCCCCCCGGTCACCATAGCCCTCCCAGGAACGAATCAGCATGAACCACATCTGCACAAGCCCCATCAATGGGTAAACTGATGCAAAATAAGTTCCTCCCGCATCACGAGCCTCTGCAAACTTCAGCCTCTTTCTCTTTTCTCCACGCAGAGTCAGCTTCTCTCCGAGCCCAGGTGCTGAACTGGCCCCCAGAAACGCTCCCAAGACCTGGCGGCGGCAGCAGCTGCCCCCTCCGCACCGCATGGATCCAGCGTCCACCTCTCACCGCTGGCCTGGGGAGCGTCAGGATCGTCAGCCACCGAGGCACGGCCTCCCTGGCACCTGGTCACCCCCTGTCAGCCACCAGGGCTCCAGCCATCGGCCACCTGCACCGCCCTGGCCCCTGCTGCAGCCCCTGTGTGGCCGAGGTGCGTCCGTCCGTCTGTCCGCAGGGAAGGCTGCTTGTTCACCTCCGAGCCACTGCCCACTGAGAGAAGACTTTGCTCTCAGCGTTTGGGCTCGGGGAGAGACCACTTTCTTGCTCACTGAAGGGAAACCGGCCTTTTCCCGGACCTGTCCTGACTTGCCTCAAGGGTGACAGACAGAAGCGAAGCAGCTGCCTGTCTCCCGACTCAAGCGGGGATGTTATTCAGAGACAGATCTCCACGGGCTCCTTCCCTGTGTACAGCCTGACAGACCACAGCAGCTCCTAGCCACCGCGCGGGAGCGTTGCACCGGCTGTGACAGGGAAACCCCAACACCCAATTTCATTTCCCCTAAAGTTTATCTTTGCAGAAAACAACTCCCCACCAAGAAGCCGGGCCCCCCCCCCCCGCCGAGATCTGGGGGCTCTCACCTCTGCCAAGCACAGCCGTGCTGGGAAAGCACCTGAACCCACGCCAGAGCCCCCCCTTCCCCGGCTTTAAACAGCACCCGCAGCAGCCAAACGCAACAGCTCTGCTCCCCCAGCCCCTCGCGAAGGCCGGGGCTCACGGGGCAGAGCCGGCACGGCACGGCGGCTGCCCCGGTGCGTGATCGGCACCGAGGGCCGAGCCCTCCTAGGCCCCCCCGGGGCTGTCGAGGCCTTCTCGCGGGTCCGAGGCCTGCTCTCCCCGCCAGCCGGCTCCCAGCCGCTCCCCCGCCCTTCGGCCCAA